TTAGTATGAAAAGGATCTCATGCCCCCACCCCCACACACTTTGGCTTAAATTAATTTGAGTTAGATTTCTGTCAGTTATTAACTGAGTGGGTTGAAATTATCTGGTGAGGAAGTAAAATCTGCATAATAGAGGTATATAAAGCCAGCTCTGCACAGTTAGAAAAAAGAAACACTCTCACAAGGACATGCTGCAACTCTTAAGTGTCATCATAAGCCTCTTCTCTAGAATCAGGTTGTTGAAATCCAATCAGTAAGAATAAAACATTTCACTCTTGTATGCTGGACTCACATCACTTTGACCCAAAGAAACACCCTCAGTTCACAGCCCAGGAGCAGAGCATCGCCTACGAAGTTTCTGCACAAAACATCCCAGGGCTATCCTCACTTTGTCAGGTCCAAGGAAACAGACTCTGAGTCTACCCTGCAGTGCTGATCTGAGGTTGACCCCTGTATACAACCCTACTTTTCCTTGAATCTATCAAAATACTATTTTAAGTTTCATCTGTACTCCACTCTTGCACATAACCCTACAGCAACCTGTTTTCCTTTCATGAGATGATCTGTGTTCCATCTCTTATGTATGCTCTCATTGCAGTGGTAAATAAACCTGATTTTTATCCAACTGCTAGTAATTTTTTGGGGTTTTAGGTTTCAGGGGCAGCAAAATTTGTTAGTGATTGTAGTCCTCCTTCCTACAACAGTTCCTTTACTCAGATTGGTTTCATAATCAAAGACCTGGTCATTTATGCACCCCCTGGAGTAAATCTCATAGAAGGGTTGAAACTTTAAGAGTGTTGTTTCAGAGTGGAATGTTTGCAACGCTGGCATCCACGTCTTTAGGAGCTTGTTCGACAGAGTCTAGAGCCTCATTGTTGATTGGCTGAATCAGAGTCTGCACTTTCCTAGGAGTACCAGGTAATCCTATGCAGAGTAAACTTTAAGAAGTGCTGGCTGCTCTGGAGATCTGGAGAGTCCTAAGAGGTTCCTCAGGGCCCCTCACAAAAACCTGAAGGCAGGGAAGAGAGACACAAAGCCGTGGGCCTTTCTGGTATGGAAGCTGTCTTCTAACACGTTGCTTTGTGATTTTTTCATTTCTGTAAATGCATCTTTGAAGTAAGAAGCATTTGAAAAACTACAGCTTGGAACCATGTTAATAATTCATTGTGAGTGAGTTCAACATGAACACAAAGTCCCTTAATCTTGTCATTTGTTGTGTGACCATCTCTGTGGCTATGGCTTTAGCCTCAGGCTGCTGGTTCTTTTAGACTGTAGACACCTGAACTGGGAGAGTGGGTCTATCAGAGATTGATTTATATAAGAACTAAGGAACCTACCAAAATAATGCCTTGAAAGAAAGAGCAGCTAGGAAGAAATACTGGTCCTCAGATGGTAGTGGTAACCTGGGGAACAGCATGGTGACTGTGACTGGAATTCTTTTCTGTCCCCAGGCCTTAGGTAGGAGATAGAGAGAAACTGTCTAAAAATGAAATGAGCTTTCACCTGATCCTGAGTAATTATCAGGACAGAAAAGCCCTGTTGTTTCTTTTTGAGCCTCTTACTAGGTTTTAAGTAGAGGGAGGAGCATTTGCTCACCTTCCTTTTCTTGGTCACAGAATGCTCACCCTCCTGGTACCTTAGAACTCTTGCCTTTTAGTGATGCAGTGGGGTTAAGCACTGTCTGCTGAGTAGATTGCTGGTTCAAGAGAGAAGAGCAGACTGGAGATCACATTGGGCCAGGATGAGACAGCAGCAGCCAGTAGCCAAAGGGCATGGAGTTATTTTATTTTTATCATTAGGAAAATTTTAGAGTCAGAAGAGTAAGGGGGAAAGGACAGTTTTCCAAAAACTTACGTGAGCAATGGTCTTATGTGAGAAGAGGAGTCTGTGGAGTTTTAGTTAATCTATTCACCCAGCCCCAGAGGTATCTTAAAACAGAAGAGGGGCAGGAACACTTGACAAGAGTTTTGGTTGAAGTGCCAAATGTAATCTCCCCTATCCTTTCTCAGCTCTTGAAAAAAAAAAAAAAAGATGCACTATAAGAGACTATTCTTTACAAACCTTAGAGGGGCTTTATAGCTGAGATGGGTCCTTGTAGATTTGGAGGACACCATGCAGCATGTTGTCCCAACCCAAAATCTCTTCCCACATCCTGAGTACTTTTCTAAAGAATACCAAAGGTAAAGGATACCACCTTATATTATTTTTTACACTTCATCATCCCTTAACAATACTTAACATGTATGTGGTCCATAGCAAGCACCTGTCCACTGTTTAGGGTAACAACCAGGCACACTTCGATCCCATCATTTCTATATTTGCTTTAATACCTAACATGCCCATGGATTACATATATAGCTGTGATGTTCCTTTGACCTCCAATGCATCCATGAAATGTTTTTTGTTCAAATGAAAAATGCAATTGAATAATAGCTGAGCAGTTGTGTTGAGGTAAAGAGATTTTCCCTGATTATCTCAGTGAAATTCCAGGTCAAATTGACATGAATGAAGAGTAAACGTTCTGCCAACAAGTGCTTCAGCATTGGGGTTCTTGACTACCCACTTCTTCCCATCACTTAAGGTATTAAATCATGCTTTCTAGAATTCAATGGTATTTTAATGTGCTTCATATCTGCCTAGTAGTTCAGGCGTTTCCAGGAATATTTTTATCCACAGTTCTGAAGGATGAATATGTTAGCAAGTGCTTTATTACTTTAAGGTTCATTTCAAGCTGCCTAATTCCGGCATTGCCATTATTACAGCTCATGACCAAGGACATGCATTGAACCACATGGTGAGAGCCAGGGATGAAAGCTTCTATCATGCTACATATTGCTTTCCATCTTAAAAAAATGATAGTTTCTTTCAATCCCAGATGTCTTTGATTGTTTGCTACAAGGGGGCATCACCAACTTCACCATGTATAGGAGACACTTCTTTAATTTATGGGGTAGGCTTACCTGAAATGTACATGCCCATTTGCTAAAGTCTCAGCGTGTCATCAGCCTCTCCTGTGGTTCATCTGAAGCCTGGAGGTGAGGGCAGGGAGAAGAGATGGGACCTCTGCTTTTGTTGTTTGGTTGAAACCTGCAGAAAAAAGGGCCAGCCAGTTGCTTCTCGGCCTTTTGGCTAAGATCAAGTGCAGAAAGGGTCAGCCCGGCTTGTGCAAAGTGCCCTGTGTACAGTGACAGAGTTTGTGTCGGGAGATGGCAGGAGTATGCTCTTCATTACCTTGACCACAACCGACCCATTTCCAAGTAGACTTACTTTAGGAATTTGCCCCCCCCCCCCGCTCCCCATTTTTTAAAAGATTTATTTATTTGAAAGAATTACAGAGGGAAAGAGAGAGGGTTCTTCTATCTGCTAGTTCACTCCCAAATGGCTGCAATGACCAAAGGTAGGCCAGGCTGAAGCCAGGAGCCTAGAACTTCTTCGGAGTTTCCCATGTGAGTGCAGGGGCCCAAGGACTTGGGCCATCTCCCACTGCTTTCCCAGGCCACAGCAGGGAGCTGGAATGGAAGTGGAGCAGCCAGATTTGAACTGGCACCCATATAGGATGCCAGAACTGCAGGCTGGAGTTTATCTTACTGCACTACAGCCCTGACCCCTCCCCCTTTTCTTAGACTCTCTGAAATACCTGTGCTCAAGCAATGTTTTGTATATAGGGATATTATTTTGAAAAGATAATTGAGAATGAGTGTCGCTCCCCCTCTTCGTGGAGGAACGACACAAGACCCTGCGCTGTTCTTTTGTCTGCTCGGCCCTCCCCGGGTTTGCTGCTGGTTCTTCCCGGGTTGGCTACTATCCCTTCCACCTCCGTGGAAGGGCAGTTCCCCCTGGCCGCATTCCCCACTTCCGCAGGGGAGCGGCACACCGCCGGCCGGCTCTCTGGGGGGCTGCACGGGTTCCCTTAGATGTTCCCCATAGATGTTCCCCATAGATGTTCCCGGTGCATGCCGTCTCTCTCCTCCTTTATAGTCCTCTTCCGCCAATCCTAACTCGGCTGAGTACGCTGCTCTCCAATCAGGAGCAAGTCCTACAGTTAATTGGTTGAACTGGAGGCAGCTGTGCGGAAGCTGTTTACTTCTCTCCCAGCGCCATATTGTGGGAGAGCAGATGCATAGAATAAGTCTTAATTCGAGTAACTTAGTCTAGTCCGGATTGCTCCCCACAAATGAGTGCTTGTTTATGGAACCAAATAGCTCTATCTGTGAAAAACAGCGAGAAAGGAAGATGTACTCCATACGTTTCTGTAAGGGACTTTTTAGATGTTTTGTAGGGCTTCACAGGGAATCTGCTATATAGTAGGCAAAGGGTTAATAAATGAGCAATGGCTCTGATGAAGCTGTAGCAACATTGTGTGAAGGACTCAAAGATAAGAGTCCTGTGAAGTGTCATTTGTAGTCACACACATCTTCCTAAACATAGAAACCATTATGCCTTTGTGAGTAGAAATCCTCTAATACCATGAATGCACTAGTGTATGTAACAAGCAGAAACTCTTGGGGACCTTGAACTGTATTCATTGGCCAGGTTGTCTTTAGTCGTCGTAGTGTTACATGCATCCATTTTATTTTAAAGCATGATTTGAACCCTGAGAGGTAGGATGTATGTGGCGAAAGGCAATTCGATTTCTGAAATGTGTTTTAGGTGCAATGGAAGCTCAGCTACAGCACATCTCTTTCACCCTAATTTTTAATTTGAGATGGTATTTTATAATGTTAATATACTATTGCTTTGTTGAATTGGCCTCCTTTGTGATAGTATCAGAAGCTAAGTGGATTGGATGTCAGAGATACCTAGCTTTGAAGCATAATTGAGGTACTCATGGTGTTCATTACCTTTATTGGTGAGAATATATTTCTTCTTGGGAAATACTAATATGATGAATCATATTTTTAAAAAAAGTATTTTTTGATGCTCTGAATCATGACTGTCTTAAGAAATCCACTTTGGGGCTTATCATGAAGTGGTAATGAATACGAATTGAAGAAATAAAGATAACTGGTATCAGGACTTTATTAGGCATTTCACTAGATACAAAGAAACATTTTGTTACATTAACACAATCTTATCAAAAAATTCACATTTTCTATACAGACTGTAGGCATGGATTTTCTTTATACCACATTTATGGAAGTATCAATCACCAGATCCTAAAAAGAGAAGGCACAGATCAATCTCTCTGTAGTGAATTTCTGACATCTAAAGAAGGAAATGTCAACACCTATGCCAATTCTCATCTTGCAGAAATGAAGTTAACCAGTATCAATATGTTCAAGTAGGAGTTATGAGATGGAAATGTTACATTTAGGAATTTAGGTTCTCCTGTCCCACTCATAGGAATTTCTAGAGAGGAAGTAACTACCCAAAATGTTCCAAAACTCTACCCACAGTCCGACTATGTCAAGGATTCACTGTCAAAAACCACAGTATTTGAAAGTTCTACTTTAGGAATTCCAACATCCATTGTTCTGTTCTCTGCACATTCTTCTGGAAATGAGCCTTAGTTTTCTTTGTGCTTATTCTACAGCTTCTTGTGTTTTCAAGTGTGACAAGGAAAAAAAAAAGTGTTGGCCATTATAGATGCCTTGGCAAGTCAGTCTGTCAGGTAGTAGCTGCATGTCAGGACTCTTGTTCTACCCATCACCAGCTGTTCAACTGCCTCTTAACATTCTAAGGAGGTGCCGTTAGGGCTGTGTCTACCCCAAACTGTCATCTCTTCTTCCAGAACTGAAAAATCTCTACAATTTCACAGAAGAATAGTTCTGATAAAAAAAAAAAACTTGCAGTAAGTTGTCAATAAGGGGAATAATAGATCAGTTTCTTCAGTCTCTGAAGGAAAAAGAAACTGGAGTTTAAAAGAGGTTCCAGTCCAGGACTAAGTTAGAAGGTACTGCTGCTTCCCAGGGGGGTTTTTAATGGACGTTTGTGTTTTGGTCATCTCAGTTACGAGGGATCAGTGGGGAGAAGCTGGACTTCACAATAGGCCAAAGAAGGGAGATTTTGACTAGAGCGCTATCAATCATGTGGAGACACTGGCTTCACTGTTTCATCTGTATTGGAGTTGATCCTTTTATAAAACAATAGTGGAACCTAGTGTGGAGCAATATTTTCCTTCATAAGGGGTATTATGTATACTCATTTTCATGGTGTATCTTAGCATTAGGAAATAGAGGAAGGTAGGTCTCACCTTTCATGGGCATCCCAGCTGAAAATAAGGTGGTATTAGGAATAGTGTTGCCAGATTTAGAGGGAAAAAAATACAGGACATACCCCATTAAACTTTAATTGTAGATAAACTTTTCTTTAGTTTGATTAAATATATAGGAAATACACTAAAAATGTTGTTTATCTGAAATTTGAATTTCACTAACTGTCCTGGATTGCATCTGGCAACCCTGAACGAAGGAATAATCAAGTACTGAGAAAGTAAAGGAAAATAGTTAAATATTCTGTTCCCAAATCCCAAGCCCAAAGAAGATTACAGAGTTTTGCTTTGAGCATGATCATTGAATTAGTCATGAGTTTTCCAAAACTAGACTACATGTAGAACAGAAATAGTGGAGTAAAGTGGTGCACGCTTGTTTTTTGAGAAGAGAACCATGTTGGAACCAGCAGATGTTAACGGTCCTTTAACAACTCCTATATAGCTATAGCAGCTCATCGTACTTGAGAGGATTCAATTTTTTAGGAATAATGGTCTGGAGAAAGAAGTTTTTATGAAAAACTTATCATTAAAAGAAAATGAGTTCAATGGTGGGAAGAAGAATTTTATGGGTGCACTGTTTCTCTTGCTGATGGAAACAAATGTGAATTGAGTCATCTTGTATGATGAAGTAGATTACTTGATGTTTGATAGTTTGGAAAAGCATGAGTGTTCAACAGACTAGACAATTAGCTTGTGAGAACTCTGATCAGTTCTAAAGTACATTCTCCATATTTTCCAAAACCATCTTTAAAAATACAATTTCCGTGAAAACTTTATGTCCAAATTGCAACAATAACAAATGTCAATGAATTAAGGCTGGTCATAATGTGCCCTTTTTCTTTAGGATAAGTTTGATTTTTGATACGATACAATACACACTTATACATGCCACAGACAAGCACATACCTTTGACTTATACAAATACACATTTAGAACTAAATATCTACAAAATTGTACCACAGGTGAAATAAAAATTACATAATTTAACAGATTCAATCAACATGTTTTACAAATTGTACAGACATCATTGTCATTGGGAAAACAATTTAGAGCATTGTTTAAAACTGTATGTAACACAGGAGCCACCGATACATTATGGCAAATATAGCATAGCATTTACACCAGATGTCACTGAAGTCTAGTTGAAAAGACCAAAGTGTTGCAAAACAAAATGCCTTTATAAACCTTGTTTAGCATATCCTGAAGGACACTATGCATTATTTTCTATTGTCAATTAAAAATGTCAGCACTCTGCCTATGGAGCTTCCATTTGGTTGAGTGACCAAAGCTTAGAACATTGTGTCATTTGACCTGTAAAACTTGTAGAACTCAAAAACTCATGAAAATTTCCTGAGACTTGCAACTTTCCAATCTGAATTCCTAACAATGGAGAACCTGAACCAGTAACTCTGGTTGTAAGCACACGAGAACCTCAAAAAACTTAAGAGCAACTTTCAGTGAAAATGTATATGTGAGTTTAAAATTTATGTCTCAATTCATCGTTACTTCCCTATCTTGAATTACAAAGTAGTTTGACTATTACTGCCAGGCATTTCCTATTTTGAATTGTCTTACTTTCCATTGGTTTTCTAGTGATGTTTCTTCTCTTACATCTTTGAATAATGTTTATGCCTTTTAACAGAGAAGATAGTGAGTTTAGGAGTTAAAATAGCAGTTCAATCCAGTGGGTGTTTTTAGTACATTTAACTTGAATTGTGTGTGTGTCTATTTGCACATGTGTACACATACAGGTGCATACATGCCAAACATTGTATGCTCTAATACATTCACTATTAGGTGGCGCTCCATGAAAAGTGAGTTTTCCCAGTATGGCTGCAAGTGAATATTGAGGTCATCAAATAGAGTATCCTAAGGCTTTTAAAAGATATCTCCTATTGTCTATTAAGTAATAGGGAGACATAAAGAACAATGGCAGGAGAAGTATTCACCATATTGGTCCTTCAAATTGCAGACAGGAAAGTAAACTTAAAAATTAAACTCTTTGTATATTTTCCCTCATGCCATTTACTACTTTGCTTTCCTGTTGTAGACTGGGTAAAAGTTGGATTTAATGTATTTTTTTTTTTGGCCTGGCAGGTCTTCTGATATAAGTCTTAAGAAACAAGCAAAAACAAAAAGTCCACCAAGATGTGTCTACTACCACCTTGGGGCTTATTTGTAGCCCTTGTGCTCCTATCTCTCTGGAAGACAAAGCCCAGCTAAGACAGTGGAGCATAAGCGGAGGGTAAGTTTTGTTTCCACATCACCACTTCTTACCCCCATCTCTGTATTTAAGGCCTGCAACTTGCTCCCTAAGCGTGATCTAGGGCAGAGTCAGTGGGCAGGAGACAGCCAAAGGCACCTTCTCTGGTGATCCGTCCTATAGAATGCTCTCTGGGTTCTCTTCTGCCTGTACCTTCCATTTGAAATTAAGGCAAGTCCATTTTCTCTCAGTGCCTGCTAGGCCACATGGAAACCACAACATAGCTTGAAAATACCTTTTGTCTAACAAGGTTTCTGTTTCAATGTTACTGAAAGCAATAAAAATTTTGTCCTCAGTTAAGAAACTGCAGTCTGATGCTTAATCATGTTTTTTTTTCCAGCACCCAAATGACAAAGTTAATTCTAAGCAAACATAGTTACCAGTATATTAATTTTTCATTAATATGCTGAAAGATCTGTTCTCTGTCATAGTTACAAGTGAAATTCTTGTGTCATTGTAAGTGTGCTTGGCTAAATATCCTCCTGAGGGATGCCTAATGGAGTGAAAACATGCCCAAAAAGCAAATTCATAGGACATAAACTTCAATAATCCATAATCCTTTAAAAGGATTTATATTCAGTTGCACAGAAACAGCAAGTGAAAGAGATTGAAGACAATACAACAACAAGGGAAGGTAAGGGCAAAGGACAACTATATTTTTGTAAATGAGTCCCAGCCTAGAGTATTTTCAAAAATATTTTAATGTAGTATATCAGTATTGCTGCAAGTATAGTTTACAAAACTTTGCTTTATACCTTTGTCAAACCAATGGTTAAGAACATTATACCACTATAGCCTCAATGATCTGTGATGACTTTAAAATTTCTGTATATGGATATAGTTGTCATTTTTCCCTTCAATTATTATTTATAGCTGTTGCCTCTGTTTTCACTAAATTAGGGTCTGTTTGATTTATACTTGTTAAGCTTCTTATTTGGTGAAGCATTAAGCCTTTTTACTATAATGTTAATTTAAAATATGTTCAATAACTAAAGAAAGGAATGGAGGGACTATCACTATATTCTGAGAACTGCATCTATAAACTATACTGAATCTGGTAAAAACTAATGAAAAATTTTAAAAAAGTAATAAGCCACCTCACTTTCAAAGGTCTTAATAATATATGAAAATGAGTGATAAGGATTTTAGTTTTAGAATTAAATTATTGAGTGGTAGTAGTGTTTTAATTTAAAGAGTTGTACTCTGTGTGTACTTTTATAGCTATCATGTTGGTATATTGTGTATGGACATACATGTTTTTCATGTGTGTAAGCATGCTACTTAGTCTACCAGAGGCACCCCTGCACTCTTTCTATACAGCTGCCTATTGTTTATAATTTTGATACAATCTTAAAACAAACACCCTTATCTGGGTCCAAGAAATGAAGCCATTTGACCAGCATTTAAATTAATTAAAAGCTGAGAGCATGGTATCATTTTTCTATGGTCCCACATGAACTATATTGTCACGAAAACTCTTGAGCTGTGATTATTCTCAAATATGAAGACAGAGTAATTTATAATATAAGAAGCTCAGCAAATTTTATAAATAAATGCTTCACCATATTCTTGTGAGGCACATAGATAAGGGTTATTGTGCTCTAAGATTATTTTAGAATTGTTGGATGGCCACCTCCAATCGGATTAACACTACTTTTTTTACAGACCAGGACTATCAAATGGTAGGCCACAGAAACTGTGTGTGTGTGTTTTGCCTCTGTCTTAATTTTTCCCTTAGGCAGGCTGGAATGTCGAAGTGATGAGTCAGGCCAATTTTAAACAAGTCTACCTAGAACACATATATTTCATGAATCCTTGTGATTTCATGGGCATACTTTCAAAAATGTTGCTTTAATTCCTTCTGCCAACCTTTCTTGTTCTTTTAATTCAAAATCTTGAACTGAAGCTTCTTGAAAAATAATTCTAAATATTTGGGATTTAGAATTAGGTATTTAAAAATCATGAAAGCTGTTAAGAGGGCATTTTAAAGAATTCTTTGAAGAGTTTCTAATTTCAACATAGTTGTTATAATTTATCCTTTACTGGTCATTTTCAGGGTGATATTATTTCAGAGATTGCTGAATTAAAATAGCATCTATCTCCCCCTCTGCTGCCATTTCATCACTATGGACTTGGCACTCAGTTCTTTCAAAAGAAGGTTTTACTCTATAGTTATAGCTGCCTTAAATAGAAACACTGTAAAACACTATTATTTTCATACAACACAAAAATCACTAATTATGGCCTCCAAAATTACTGATGCTGGGGAACTGGTTCGATAGATCATCTCTAGGACCAAAAGTTAGCTATGATGTCCCAATTGCTGATGACTATATTATATTATACCAAATCCCACAGATAAATTTCACCACAGCAATGTAATATACATTATGTTGGGCATTTCATTGAACAGAATGAGTGAGCACGGAAGCAGAAAAGTTAGAAAATGTAGACACTGTAGGAGTCCTAGGTTGAAATTAGAAAACGCAATCAAGTAAACACTCAAATTTTACATTACAAAGACTAATTTTGAAAATGAAATCCACTGGTCTTTTTAAAATCCCTAACACTAGAAATAGATTTTTCTCACCAGATGGAAAATGAACTATTTATAGCAATGCAGAATATGATGATAAGCACTCAAGAAATGGTTTTCCCCCCTTTTCCCACCCACTATCAGCCCTAATCCTTTCAGAAACTCAGTGGAATGGGAAGATCAGAGTGTTTACAGATAAGATGCCTAACACAATGATTCTTGTCTAGCTTACTCATAGGCACTCAGAATAGTACTATCAAGTGTTGGCTTCTCCTTCATCAAAGACATAGTTGAGCTTTATGACAGTGCTGATAAAATCACCGAGTTCTACAAAGTCGGCAGTGACAATATTGATGCCACTCTCTCCTGGCTTCTGTGTGCGGACCCACTGCATCATGGCAGGAAGAGCTCTGAGGAAAGGAAAAAAAAAGGAAGTCACACAAGGTAAGGTAGTATTTTTCATGCTCTAAAATTAGCTCTGTAACTTATTTTTACAAATGTTGCAGTGTAGGCAGAGATGGAGTAAAAAGGCCAGACAGGCAACGGTGCATTATTAGTTGTTGAGGAACTGCATGCTATTGATTCACTACACTGGGCCATACTGAACCCCTCATTGCTAGAGGTGTCGGATACTTTACTAGTTTATAGTGAGGTATCTCTAGCAATAAAACAACATCCTTGGCCTTGTGTTCTGCTTTGGCATGGTGTGTTCACAAACTCTACAAAGCAATGGATGGTGAGGTCAGAGATGAATACTACCACTTTGCAATCACTTAGTATAAATACACTATTTATACCATTGTAAGCATTTGGACCAAAATAGATAGAAAATATCTGCTCCTGCAGAGCTTACAGTCCCTTAAGAAGAGACAGGTAACAATCCTAAGTATACTATACAGTTTTGTAGGAAGAAAAATGTGACATAAAAATGGAGCAATGAAAGTAGGATTAGGAGATGGCAGGAGTGAGGAAAGTTGCAGGTCACACCTTTGATAAGGGGACATTGTACAAAGGCTTAAAGAAATAAGGAGGTAGGCATGTAGTTATCTAGGGAGAAAATCCCAACTACTGCTTTATCCCTAAAGCTTAGTCTTAGCAATGCCCAAGAGAGGAGAAAGTGGTAATAGGAGACAGGAGCATATTTGTGAGCACTGTGGGCCATTGTGAGGATTTTGAGATGTATTCAGTAAAACGGGGGGACTTTTGAAGATGAGCAGAGAAGTGTTGTGATCTGGCTTTCACTATTAAAGCTCATTCATTATCAGGAAATCATAGAGGAGAATCAGCCAACTTACCTGGAAAGTCAGGGAAGAACATTCCGAAGGATTTTGAGGGATGATGCAGTACATTTTCAGGTAGAGGAAATATCACTTCTGATGCATCATCAATGATGCAATCATAGGACACAGATACGGGTGATATTAAAAATGATATGCATTGTCTTCTAACAACAAATTGGAGCCAACTCTACTGTAGCAAGGTAGTTTCCACATAAAGGGACAAATAAACTGCAGCCAGCAAAATGTTACTGAATTAACAAAGAAAAAGGTGGGGGATATATATGAACATCAAATTCCTGGGTGACATGGATCGAAACATGGAGAGGGAGACAGAATGATGAATTTAAGGACATCTTGAAAGACAGTGGCAAGAGAAGAAGCCACTATTTGGTAGAGGGTCTTAACCATGACTATATTTGAGAAATTAGTTTGCTTCTGCATAGATATAAGAATGGGAGAGTAAAAAGTACAGGCAGGAATAACAGGTGGCTGTTGGAGTAATTCTGTGAGATACAACAGTAACTTGAACTGCAGGAACAGCCATAAATGTATGTGAAAGGGACTAAGGAAATAAAATGACATCAGATGTGGGATGAGACTGAGATGGAAAGAAAAAAAAGGGGCCACAAGTGATGCTTAGGTGTCTGGCAGATGGACATCAATGACTAATATTGGAAATAGAAATTCTTTCCAGGAGAGGTGATAAGTTTGGTCTCAGACATATTGATTATAAGGTGACTTTGGGATATTTGAGTTGACAACTGCATAATTCTGATATTCAGAACAGAAATCAGGTCAGGAGTCATTATGGAACTATGAAAGTAGAAAAGTCAGGAATGTATACTTCCATTATCATGACAATCAAAAAAAGAAGGAAGACTAGTTGCTTTTTGAAATGGGGGAGTTCGAAGCACAAAGTACAGTATGTGGGCATTTCTGCAGATTGCATAAAGTGTGTCTAAACAAACTCAACCCATTCAGGCAAAACTGGACTTGGACTATACTAATCCTGTGAGTAATATCTTAAATATTTTGATACATATTTTTAGAAAACTTTTATTTAATATAAATTTTGAAAGTACAACTTTTGGATTATAGCGGTTTTTCCCCCCATAACCACCCTCCCACCTGCAAACCATCCAATTCTTCAAGATCCATTTTTAATTATCTTTGTATACAGAAGATCAACTTAGTATATACTTAGTAAAGATTTCAACAGTTTGCACCCACACACACAAAGTATAAAGTACCATTTGAAGACTAGTTTTACCATTATAAAATACATTAAGAACAGAGATCCTATGTGGGGAGTAAGAGCACAGTGACTCCTGTTGTTGATTTAATAATTGACACTCTTATTTATGATGTCAGTAATCACCCAAGGCTCTTGTCATGAGCTTCCAAGGCTATGGAAGCCTTTTGAGTTCGCCAACTTCAATCAAGGTCATAGTCAAAGTGGAAGTTCTCTCCTCCCTTCAGAGAAAGGTACCTCCTTCTTTGATGGCCCCTCCTTTCCACTAGGATCTCACTCACAGAGATCTTTCATTTAGGTCCTTTTTTTTGCCACAGTGTCTTGGCTTTCTATGCCTGAAATACTCTCATGGGCTTTTTAGCCAGATCTGAATGCCTTAAGGGCTGATTCTGAGGCCAGAGTGCTCTTTAGGACATCTGCCATTCTATGAGTCCTCTGTGTATCCTGCTTCCCATGTTGGGTCATTTTCTCTCCTTTTTATCATTTATTATTAGTGGACACTGGTCTTATTTATGTGATCCCTTTGACACTTAATCCTATCTTTATGATCAATTATGGACTGAAACTTATTGATCCATATTTTACAGTATTTATATTTTCCTTTTAGAGACAGATATAGAAAGGTCTTTCTGCTTATAAAAGAAGGTAATATGAATTTCAAAGGCCCAATGCCTTCAGAAACAGACTGCCAGCTGAAATAGGAGGTCTTCACAGCAGTAGTTTCAGGAGAGTATTCTGTCTTAAAATGATGAGTGTGGGTTCAGGGAGCTCAGACACAAGTCTATTTAAATTTACTAGAATGACAGGGGCTGTGGTGATGTGTATGCAGCCACTCATGTGTACATACTCTTCTGGATTTGCTAGAACAGATGAAACAGTTCTGTCATCAATACAGCATCAGCTTTGCATTTTAGAAAAGGCAGACACTGTCTGGAAAGAGTATCACAACCAATGCCTTTCCTGAGAAGAATAATGTGTCAACAGACATACCCATCTTCAGAAGTGGAGTAGATAACTGGGTAACTTGCTCACCAGATCAGTCAGGTTCTTGAGCAACCAAATTCCCATCTTAGAACCATAACGGTCATAGAAAGTATCTGGGGAGCTGCTTCTAAGATTAAAATCCCTGGGCAAGAATTGAGAAAAACTAATTATTATCCCCATAGAGAGAGGTTAGGAAAGCACAAGTGGGCTCTTTTTTGTTTCTCTATAAGATAGACCACTTTGAAGTTTGTTCTGGAATTACTTAAAGTCCTTAGATGAAGTATGAGAATTACATTTAAAATATCATTCCTCTGAGTTATGTCTAAACAGAAAATAGAAATATTCCCATAACATTACTGAAGTCAACATGCTACATAAAGCAAAATAACTAAAACTAAATTGAATTTCAAATACTTAACATACCAATTAAAACTAGAAAATGATATTGAACATTTAGAGTAGCATTTCCTTAATCACTCCTCAAAGAGCCTTTTTTGACCACTTGCCTTCCTTCTCCATGAAATTTTAATGCTGCACATAGATTGTATATCTGTTTATATATACTCATATGTTCTTACATGGTTTGCATATCTGTGATTCATATACACAAATAATACAATTTTTATTTGATCTCTAAAGAACCAAGTTTTTCTCTCTTGGGGGAAATATTGCCACTGAGTGTATGATTTACAGCTAATTGTCAAGTTCTCAATTATACTTAGTGTTGGAAAATAATTAGAAGAAATCAAAAAGTCTGCTCTAATAGAAATAAAATAGCTCCAATGTCAAAATTTTTATGGTATAGGACAGTTTTTAGTCTGTTTGGGGCTCCTATAGCAAAATATCATAACTTGTATAGTTTATCAACAAAACAAATGTATTTGTCACAGTTTAGGCTAGCGAGTCCAAGATCGGGGTGCTTGCATAGATGCTACCTTTTTCTCACTGTGCTCTCATGTGGTCAAAGTGCAAACAGCTCCCTCTGGCCCTTGTTAGGAGGCACCAGTATCGCAGAGGCCTCTACCCCTATGATGTAATCATCTCCCCCCAAGTCTTACCACTTAATACCTCATGTTGGTATATGGTTATGATTTCTACATATGAATTTTGATGAGATGCAAACATTCAGGTCATAGGAAGTACAAACTGCTTGAATTTTTTTTTTTAATTTATTTATTGTACAGAGTTAGAGATACAGAGAGAAAGGACTTCCTTCTGTTGGTTCACCCCCAAAATGGCCACCACAGCTGGTGCTGCGCCAATCCGAAGCCAGGAACCATGTGCCTCTTCCTGGTTTCCCATGCGGGTGCAGGGGCCCAAGCACTTGGGCCATCCTCCACTGCCCTCCCGGCCACAGCAGAGAGCTGGATTGGAAGAGGAGCAACCGGGAGTAGAACCTGGCGCCCATATGAGATGCTGGTGTTGCCCCTTGAATGTTTGTTTTAAATCATCCATCCAAGATGACTTGAGCAGTGTGCTGGTTGTAGCTCCCCAGAGCTATCCCAGTTTCCTCATCTTTATTGGAGAAATCTTGACAGTGTCTTGCCCCGATCTGTTTTTGTGCTTCTTCTACACTAAAGGTGTGGGGAGCAACTGGGAGCAACTCGGACTAGACTAAGTTACTGGAATTAAGACTTATTCTATGCATTTGCTCTCCCACAATATGGTGCTGGGAGAGGAGAAAACAGCTTCTACGCAGCTGCCTCTTGCCAACTTGAGTGATGACCTCCAGGAGCTGATCCTGCTCCTGATTGGAGGAGAGCAGCGTACTCGGCATGTGGGCAGCCGAGTTAGGATTGGCGGAGGAGGACTATAAAGGAGGAGAGAGACAACATGCACCAGGAACATCTAAGGGGAACATCTATCTGAAGGAACACCTGTGCAGCCCCCGAGA